GGTAGTGGTAGTGGTAGTGGTAGTGGTAGTGGCAGTAGCAGTAGTAGTAGTAGTAGTCGTCGTCGTCGTCGTAGTAGTAGTAGTAGAAGTAGAAGTAGAAGTAGTAGTAGTAGTAGTAGTAGCAACAACAGCAGCAGTTACTAGCTGCCTTGTCCAGGTCAGCCCTAGGCCGCGCTTTCTGCCTTTATAGGGCCCTTGTAGTCATCGCTGTAGTCACGCTTAGTGTAGCACCCTTGTAGCATCCTTACGCTGTAGTAGCCCTTAGCCGAATTGTCTACAGGATCGGCGACACACGCTTTACTGGCGTGTATGCGGCGCAAGGAGACCACCATCGCAGCTCGGCTGGGGAAGTTCGGTCTGCTCCCCCTTTTTCAGGGTTCATATAAAGGTTCCTTGAACAAAGACCCTGCAAGGGTTCCGACAGGGGACCTCTGTGTGGAGCCCTGGTGCAAAATAGAATCCGAAAGGATCCTTCCGAGTGATTTCTTTACCGCTCTGGCAGTTCTGGGGTTTTTCGTTGGGGCTCTTGGAGATGGGGTTGGCCATGGCCTGAGGCTTAGGGCTCCTTCCTTCTTTTCTTTTCTGCGGCAAAGTGAGTGCGTCCTTGTCGTAGCCAATAAGCGTATTGACATGAATTGATTCAATCGATTCCTGATGTGATGCCAAGTACTCGGACGCCGCAATCTCTAGCATCGGGACCTACTGCAACATGATTTTCACCGCAGTTGAAGGCTGAAAGCCCGCTGACCTTAACCTCGAAAGCCTATATTATACCTTACACCAACAAAATTAAACTCCAAACCAGTATAAGCCCTAAATACCGTCTCTGCCCATTCCCTTCATAGGCAGCGTTGGAAGCTGCCTTGGCTTCTCACAGTCTGCCTGAGGCTTAGATAGCTTCCAGGTTGGAGGCATATACTGTAGGTGTGATAATTATTCGAACAGGCTGTTTGGGTATGCTAATCACACAAGCAAGGGATTATAAGACGATGCTACGGTCAATTGTTCCGCATAACTATATCAGTTGCTTTAATCTTCAGGACTCAGGCCAAACCTGAGGGAAGTGAGGGAGTCGTCTGGAGGGCAACTTGTGGCGACTTGAATGTGCCGGGCTTCAGGATCGAGGATGTGTACTGCCATGTAAAGCCCGAATTAAAACCCCGTTCCCTAAACCCATATATCCTGGTTTGGGATTGCATCTCCAGTTTCTTGTCGATTCAGGCCTGGCTTGTCCTTCCCAGTCGATCCCAAGTCGTGTTTTGCCTGTGGCTCTAATACAGAGGCCTTCAGTTCCTTGGTCTGATGAAATACTATAAAGGAGCCCAAATCCCTAGTCTAGTTATTAAGGTCCCCTACATCATGCCCAGGATTGTGGGTGGGCGTGCTGGATGACCAGCTATTGTTTGTCGTGGCGAAGTTTGGGTAGCCAGTGTATTGTGATTCGGTACTGCCCCCACCCAGTAGCAGCTGGAAATGCTTAGAATTTCTTATGTATGTATGTATTTCTATATATATATATATAGATGTGTGGGGCCCTTACAGACACCCTCATGATAGACTGCTGCTGTAGGCGGGCAGCACCCAAACTGCATGTCTTCTCGGCCCTGGTCTGCTTGGTCCCTGCACTTTCAGACCCAGCTGCAGTGCCTGAGGGTGGGGTTTAGGGTCGAAGGTTTGGGGATTTGTGTGCCTCTTCTTGGCATGTTGTGCCCTGGAAATGCGCATGAGCAATCACACTGATCGCCACTGCTGCCATTTTCCAAAGAAGCAGCTTCAACTCCTTCGCCTGTGTAGGTCTGAAGAAGTAGAAACATTCACGAATTTGTTTTGTTTTGGGTTGTAAATTTTTTTGTTCATGTAGCAACATGTAACTCGACAGCATGATATAAAGACAGAAAATATTGACATGCGTCCGGCTGCTGGTACTCCGAATGCTGCCCGCCATCGTTTTACCAGCAACATCCGTGCTCGTTATTGCGATGGCCAGCAAAGAGGCTGCTTTTGATCCCTTGCCGATTTATGGGGTTTCATCTCCGGCTTCAGTAAAGTACCCCTTGAGTAAACTAGTAAGAAGGGCCCCAATCTACCGTTTTGATCCTTCCAGGGGTTGGCAGATCCAAGCCGCATCAACGACCTTGGCTGGACTGATGCACATCACGTAGCATATGGGTGGCCTATCCAAGCGGCGCATGGGACGACTTTCTCGATACCTCCTGAAAAGCACCATATGTCGTCATTCAATCAAGTCACCGACGAGTTCCTTTGTTTGCGAAATGACTTTGGGCAGACGGCACTGCATTTAGCAGTGCGACAGGACCACGACGAGCTTGTCTCCTTCCTTATCTTGACGAGAAAACTACCATGCCTGGATGTGGGGAATGGAGACGGAGATACACCGCTGCACTATGCAGCTGCATGGGGACGCAGGGAGAGCGCTCGGTTGCTGATTCAAGGGGGTGCAGATCCGTCCATCCTAAACAATCAAGCCAAAACTCCCATGGATGATGCACTCTCATTTGGCCATCCAGACATTTGGTCCATCATGTCCCAGGAAAAGATGCCTCAGCATGCAAAGTCGATAGAGTTATGAAGGGCCCCAGTTCGCCAGAGACCAGCTGCAATTCAGATCCTTGCCGGTGTACAGAAAGGCTTCAGGATCTTGGCGCTGCCACGCATCCTGCCTACGGTCTCCATTATTGTTCTCTTTGGCTACCCAATAGCATGGTTAGGAACTTAAAGTAGCGGAACAAGGTATACATGACCCTAGAATGGAGACTGCAGGTACATTCGGCGGTCAGGATGCTTATGATAGCTCATGCCTGCAGCATCCTAAGCTTGAAACACGGCAGGATATATCCCCAGGTGCAGCCCGAAATCCTGAGCCCAAAACCTTCAACTGGCTGTAACTTCAACCCCAAAGCCCCGAACCCAAGGGAATGCCCTAGGTGAGCACCTTACGGTTCCTTGTCAGACCTGCCACAGGGCCTCTGCGCGCTTCGTCAATGCTTTCATTGGTAAGTATAGACTGGAGTTTGAAATCTCGGCATGCAAGTCAGAACCGCCGTAAGGAATGCTGCAAAACCACTTTTGTTACGGTACCAACCTGCTTAACTCAAGTCAACAGTCATTCAACACGGAGCTAATCTTCGTTACGCCCACTTTCTCTTTACTTCAGACACCAATTAGGCCACAACACACAATCAGAATGAAACCGTTAACTTCCCACATCACCCAAGCCTAACGTACGACTTACTGTAAATATACGATCATCTACGATGATCTGATGCATGTATGCACCTTGGAAGAAAGGCCTGCCGACTTGTGTTCGTGCTCACCCTAAACCCTGAACGCTACACCCTAAACCCTAAACTTTAAGCCCTAAGTTCCAAAGCTTAAGCCCCTTGACCCCTTAAACCCCCTAAGCCCGAAACTCTCAACCCTAAAACCCACTAAACCCCTTAAAGCATAATAACCCTAAGCCCTAAACCCTAAATCATAAAACCCCTCAACCCTAAACCCTAAATCATAAACCCCTAAACCCTAAATCCATAATACCCCTAAGCCCCAACCCCCCTAAACCCTAAACCCCTAAACCCTAAACCCTTAAACCCTAAACCCTTAAACCATAAACCCCTGAACCCTAAATCCATAATACCCCTAAGCCCCAAACCCCCTAAACCCTAAACCCTTAAACCATAATACCCCTAAGCCCTAAATCCAGGTCCTGGTCGACCCCTCAGTTGCCAGAGGAAGCCTGGCTTTCCGCCAAGGACCGAAATCCCTGAGATTTAGGCTTGGGGTTCTTTGGCTTTTGGGTTTTTTGGGGTTAAGGGTTTAGGTTCGTGGCTTTTGGATTTTGGGGGTTAAGGGTTTAGGGATTTAGGATTGAGGTTCTTTGGCGTTGGGGTTTTGGGGGTTAAGGGTTTAGGGTTTAGGGTTTAGGATTGAGGTTATTGGCTTTTGGGTTTCGGGGGTCAAGGGTGTGTAGGGCGTCGTTGAGGTTTCTTGGAGCTTTCGGGGTTCTGGAGTTTAGGATTGAGGGTTGCAGGAGCTTCTCACTGCTCAACAGGGTTTAGGGATGTTAGGGTTTAGGGGTTTAGGGGTTGAGGGTTTAGGGGTTTAGGGTTTAGGGTGGGATGTTATGATCTGCTCTTAAATTCACCACAGAGGTGCTAGAAGTAGGGCTGCGTGGCTCAGGACTTGGGGTGCTTCGGCTCGGGTCTCGACGGAGGATAGCTAGAAGTTTTAAAGGTTGTCTAGGCTTATCAATTAAGGGTTTTTCTGGTGGTTGTAAAGTTCTGTATATATTACATGGGTACCAATGGAATTCATAGAGTGTTATGGTTTAGAGATGTTTGGGGCTGCAGGTTTAGAGGGTTTAGGGTTGAAAGGGTTCTCTCTCGGAAAGGATGACGAGGCTTCGGGAGTTGAGCCGCAGAGTCTGTCTGCTTGAAGTTGTAGTGCCCTGGATGAGGTACGATTTCATAGTGACACGTCGAGTCGACGGTTATTGAGTCTTGGCATTGAAGCCTTTGCAACTTTACTCCCTAAGCCCCAAAGGCCTAAGTAGCCTTTCATGTAGCTCGAGATTTCTGGGTTGGGATCGCTTTGAAGGTGGGTCAATCAACGACCCTGCTGTTAGCCCGATAAGAACGAAACCGTTGTAGTTCCCGCAACACACCCTTAAACCCTAAGCCAACCCTAAGCCCTAAACCCCTAAGCCCTAAACCCTAAAACCCTAATCCCCTAAACCCCTAAACCCTAAACCCCACACCCTAGGCCCCGATCCCCGGTGAACTCCAAAGGACTGGGCTCGGCATGGCTGCGATGCCGCGAGCTGCGGGGCAGAGCGCGTCTGCCTCCTGAAGATCCAGGCCCGTCGACTTATTAGGATTTAGGGTTTGGGGTTTAGAGTTTAGGGTTTAGGGTTTAGTTACCGAAAGGTTCCTGCGATGGTTCGGGTTTAGGGTTTAGGGTTCGGGTTTAGGGTTTAAGGTTTAGGGTTTAGGGTTTAGGGTTAATGGTTCGGGTTTCAGGGTTTCGGGTTTAAGGTTCATGTACCAATATCGTCGAATTTAGGCTTTCGGTAGTAGGAACTACAATGATGGTTTGGGTCAGTAGCCCTTCTGAAGCTTCAGGCCCGAGGACTTGGAGTGCGGGCAGCAGTGAATGCGAACAGTTTTGTACAAAAAGCATACATAGAGAGATGCATACATATGTACGTATGTACGCACATGCATGCGACATACATACATCCACATACTGATATTTATCTTCAAGGTTGTAGGTAGATGTACACACAGACACACCTACATTTACGTTTGCAAATATTTTTGTGTGTTTCATGTAGTTACAATGTACGGACCTATGTATACATAACCTCTGTGCATGTATGTATGTATGTATGTATGTATATGTATATGTATATGTATAAATATTATATATATATATGTAGCTTGACGCCGAAACCTGAAATCTGAATGTTGTGCCTGAAACCGAGGCTGCCAACTTTCAACTCCAAACCCTTGTTTTGGGTACTTCGACCCAGAGGACTCACTAAAACGTAAACCATGGAAAGTCAGACCGAATTGCGGAAGAGTCAGATTCTGTCCGAAATACTAACCTACATCGCTACTCTCCAACACCCAATCAAACCTGTAAAAACTGGCTATAGGGAGGGTTCTTGGGTCCTTCGCAGCCGTAGCAGACCCCAAGTCATGGAGCAGCAACAAGAAGGCACACATAAGCCGGCGGTTGGTCAGTGAAGGCTTTAGGGTTCAAGTTCGAGGTGTTAGGTTTTTTTTTCGGGTTCTAGAAGCTTCCGAGCTAAGGAGTGAGTTTAGGGTTCATGGGGTTGGGGTTGAAGGTTTGAGGGGCTTCTACGCCTTCGAGAATTCAGGGATTAGGGTTCAGGTGTTGACGGTTCAAAGGTTTGCAGGATTCAAGATTCAAGATCGAGAGTTCAGGGGTTAGGGCGCTGGGCGCTGGGTTTGAGGTTTAGAGAGCTTTGGATTTATGGGCCCAAGGCCATGCTCTCAAAATCAACTGCAGCGTTACACGGGGCTGTACTGTCAAGCTGCATGGTTCAGTCCACGTACCTAGGCTGCATGGTTCAGTCCACGTACCTATTCATTATACTCACATCACCCCCCCAAGAAAAATATAAATAACTAAATAAAAATAAATAAATACAATAATAAAACAAATAAGCTACATCTGTACCAACTATGCAGATTGAAAAGTATGAGGTGGTCGGGTCCATGAGGGCTTGTAGGGCAGCTCCGGTGCAGGACTCCAGTCGGCTGCTGGCCGGGCCAAGCAATGAAGCCGAGAGCAAGAAAGGGGAGCGGCCTGGGGCCACCAACTTGGATCCTCTAAGAACCCTATAAGCCCTATAAAATCCCATAAAACCCTACAAAACCCTATAAAATCCTATAAAAACCTATAAAACCCTATAAACCCTAAACCTCTAAGCCCTAAACTGTTTAGGGCCTAGGGGGTTAGGATTTCGGGTGCAGGGTCTAAGAGGTAAGGATTTAAGGCATAGAGCTCAGGGGATGAGGTTTTTGGGGACAGTGCTCAGTGCTCAGGGGAGAAGGGATAAGGGCTCGGGAGAAGGGGTTCAGGCTGGAGGGAAAGGTGCCCATGTTCCCTTCCAACCTTCAGGGATCGACAGAGAGGGAGTCAAGTTCTAAGTGGGTGTGTGGAGGATAAAGGTATGTGGGAGGAAGCAGGCTATGGCACAGCACGCGCATTTCTGCATTCAGCGGTTGGCAGTTCTCGCCGAAACCGGGACGGTGATGGAAGGTGGGGATCGGGGAGGGCGGCAGACCCTAAACCTCAAAAAGTAAAACCTAGACCCCTGATTAAGCCCTAAACCCCTCAACCCGAAACTTATGCCTGAGCCTTCTACGTCTTCGCTCTTCAGGTCATGAGATTCGGAGCCTTCCGACGGGAGTAACCGAATGCATCCCATATATAAGGTGTATTTAGACAGCTAAGGGCATCGTGCTACGCAATTCGCAGGCTCAGAGGTCTGATAATCACGAGACTGTGCAATCCTCAGCGTTCCTTAAGGTATTTTCTCTAATCCTGTCAATCCTTACTGAGCCCTCATAAAGCCCTTATACAGCATAGCCCTCGAATCGGGAAGCCGCTTCAAAAACCATAAACCCTAACACCCTCTAAACCCTACACCCCAAACCCTGACACCCTCTAAAGCCTAAGCCCTAAGCCCTGACACCCTTTAAACCCTAAACCCTAACATCCTCCTAAACCCTAAACCCTAAACCATAATTCCCGAGCCCCAGACCCTCCACCCTAGCAGCCTGAAGCCAAAGCCAGGCTGATGAGAGCAACCTGGTTCTGGATCGGGGCTTTCTATTTTGGCCCGGGATCCTGGAGGTGTTGATGGCTCCTGGGTTCTTGTGAAGGGATCTAGTTTCAGTTACCATGATAGGGATCTATAGTAAATAATATGGTTTCCTTATTGCAGTAACTTAAGTTGAATCCGGGCTCTTGTTAAGGGCTCTTAGGGTTCATAAGGTTGAGGGTTTTCGGGTTGGGGGGGTGTTGGGGCTTAAGGGTTAG